AGAGACACACCTACGGACGGAGGGACAGACGGACACGGGGACAGACACACGGACACGGGGACAAACGGACACGAGGACAGACACACGGACACGGGGACGGACAGACGGACACAGGACAGAGAAATGGACACGGGGACAGACACACGGACATGGGGACAAACGGACACGGGGACAGACACATGGACACGGGGACAGACACACTCCGTAGCCTGAATTCCCCCCCTGCTCATCTCCTCAGCCCCCCCAGCTCCTCCCCCGGGGGACCCCCTCCTCTGCGCACGTACTCGATGTACTCCCGCTTGTTCTCGTTTGTCACCATGATCTCGGAGCCGTTGGGCTTCAGGTCCACCTGGTACGTCTGGAATGGGAAAGGGAACACCCCGAGCACAACATGACGCTACTTCCCGACACTCCTCGCAGGAGCCTCCCTCCCCAGGCAGCATCTTACAGCAGCAGCGGGAACTGTTACACTCTCAGAGCTAAGGAGCCATCCCACCATTCCACATCAGTAGGAGCAGCCTATCAGATAATCACTTCCACCACGGAGCTCTTGTCCACGCTCCTCAGCAAGTGAACAAACCATTCCAAAGCAAACAGCAAGGTTATTGCTCAAGACAGGGACGTAGCAGTGGGAATTCCAGGATTAAGGCTGGGCTGGTGGCAGCTTTTCTCACTCAGTGTCCCCCAACTGCTCCTCATGTGGGTGGGGAGAAGGGAAGCCACATCGTGGTGGCCTCCAAGTGGTTCCTGCATCCCATCACCTGCTTCTGGTGGATACCCAGGAGGTGACTCCCTGCACCCACATTCAACCAAGCCTTCATTAAAGCTGTTATTCATCATTAGTAATTACATCAGACGTTGTGGCTGAGTAACAGGAGGGCAGTAAATATATCAGCTAATTACTAGAGCTGTGCAAGGGGGAGGCTGGGAAGCTCTCCTCAGGGCTGGATTAACGTAAAATGCTTCAGCAAGGAGGAAACCAGGACATGAATAAATGTATCTAGGGCTAGATAAGAAATACAAGCTGACTATTCCATTAAGGAAAAGGGGAGCCTACACCCCCCTGAAACAAGTTCATTCCCTCCATAAAGACCAGCCAAGACAGTGCAGATCTAGCAAGGGCAAGGTTAAACCCCAAACAGTCCCAGGCTGGGACTATTCCCTGTGTACCACCTTCACTACTCCTCACTGCAAGTGTTTCACCCAGCTTCAAGCACTGCCCTTCACAAAGCTGCTCAGTGGCAACATCAACTCCTCCTCTGGCACTCCCAGTGTGGGGTCAGGAAGAGAAGAGGTTCACGTTCAAGGTGGGCCTACACCAACCATTAACCCTCAGTGGTCCTGGTGAGGTTCACAGCCACGATATTCCTCAGTATTTAACTCCTTCCTGGCAATCACCAACTTCGGGATAAGCTTGACATACCTGGCCAAAGTTCTCCTCGTCGATGCAGAACATGAGATCCAGCTCCGTGGGGTCGTTTTCCAGGATCCACTTCAAGGAGTTGTAGTATTCACTGTCCTACAGGTCACAGTTAAACAGGAGTATTAAATGTAGAGTTTAACTTGAAGCAGTAAAACCACCTAGAACTAGAACTCCAGGGGCTGGGAAAAGGAGAACTCCTGTATTCACACAGGTACTAGGAAGCAGGGTTTTTTCTTACACTAAGAGTCTACTCTACTCAGAGTCTACTTCTAACACGACCAAAGGCAGCTGTGGCAGAGCTAAGAGTAAGAGGAAAAGGTTTCCCAACTACTTGTGGGAATACAAGGGCCTGAACCTCCTTTTAAGGTCCTTCTGGACACTTGTAACTTGGTTTTGAGCTGGCCAGACCTTGGAAGGTTAAAAGAGAAACCCAAGTATCATCCTGTTAACTCAGTGGAAACCCTCTGTACTGTCCTAGCAGGGGACACGTGTGTTACTAACCAAGTACGTACAGACCCTCCTGAAGCTGCTGCAGCCACCACCTTGCAGCTTATGGAACTTGGAGCATTCCTGACTTTCCCCAGAGCAGTAAAACATGTAACTGTCAATGGTGCTGGGTTTGAATGTCATCATCTTACCACTGACTCCATGTCCTTCAGAGTTATCGGTTTCCCCAGCATCATCTTGTAGAAAGGTCTGATGAAGAAGCCTGGAAGAGAGAGACACACAAGGTGGAGCTGAGCTCAACGGACACTACTAATCTATTACAACTGCATTCTTCTCCCAAGCAGGACAGTGGCTTCTTCCTCAACGTGCTGCTAAATAAAAGCTCTTCAGTTCAGAAGGTTTGATTGCTGCTTTATTGTGGGGTTTCATGGGCACAAAGCACGTTTTAATGTTAAATCATTCCTCAATCACCTCACAGATCACAGAGCCATGGAATGGGTGGGCTGGGAACCAGGGAAGGGTTTGGGTTGAAGGAACCTTCAAGCTCATCCACTTCCAACAGGCCAGGTTGCTCCAAGCCCCGTCCAAGCTGGCCTTGACCACCTGAGATACCCCGCTCTAAAGCATCGCAGTTACTGCTCATAGTGTGTCATGTACTCCAAGCTGGTTCCTTTACTCACCGTCCAGGAGCTTGCCATGGTACACGGCCAGCCCGGCCACGCGGCCGATAAAGGTGAAGTAGGACAAGTGATCTTCATTACAGAGACCTGAATTAGGATTAATCTGAAGTGTGTAGTTGTCCCTTGGTTGGGGAGAGAAAAGAAAGAGCTGAATAACCACGTCTGCAAACAGCCACACACATCTCAGTAACTACTTGGTGCTTTGGGCCATCACTGATCCATCAAACCACCTTGGGATGCCCATGGTGACACCTGGGGGAGCAGGATCCCCCCTGGGCCCTGCCAGGGTGACACCAGCCACATTTGCCACAGTGCACTGGGAATTCCAGCTACATTATCCCTTCTCCTGGGATTATTCCCTCTTTCCAGCCCAGTTTCAGGGCTTCACATTTTAGGATTTTCTTTTGCAGTAGTTGCTTTAAGGAGTAGAGGAGGAGTTTATAGGCCCTTGGCCCACCCACCCCAGGGTAAAGTACATTTCCTTACTAACAGCTTAAGCTGTGTGTGCTTGACACGGACATAAATCATTACAGCTCCTCCCTGGGGATGTGCAATCCCAGCCAGCAGAGTAAACCTGGCTGCAAGCAAGGCAACGCTGAGTATTGTCCTAGTAACTAAGATGCTTTGGGAGATTTCAGTGCCAGTTTGAAAGGTTCTCTGAAAAGCAAGTAAGAAACGAGAGGCCTGATGGAGAAGAACATGCACTGATGCCCTGTGGAGGGGGATCTAACCGCTTTCTGGTGGAACTCTGCCTCTAGTGCAAAACCTGATGTATATCCCTTGTAAAGGGAAGTATTTTAATGGCCACTTACGTTGCTGAATACTCAAAGAGACCGTAATAAGGGTTAAACATCTCCTTGGACAAGAGGAAAAACCACTCTCTGGCCACCCCTCCATAGTCAAGTCCTTTCTCGGACTCAAACTCAATCCAGAGCCTGGCTTTGAGCACGTCAGGTCTCTTCACAGACATGATTCTTCTGTAGGACTCCTCGAAGATGTTATTCCTGTGGAGTTTCATCTCGAAGCGGTTGGGGATATCGGCCTGTGGGGCACAACATGGTATTACACTGGGTAGTGGTGATACACAAGTCTTCAGGCAAGTTAGTGACCAACTACATGACAGATGAGACACCTGATGTACGAAGTTTCCCCTTCCTGGTGGTCTCCAGGGCTCTCTAAGTCTACAGCCTGATAACAAGTGGTGAACTAGAACAGGTTGGAAAAGATCTTCAAGATCATCCAGTCCAACCAGCACTGCCCAGGCCACGGGTAACCCACAGCACTGAGGGCCTGGTCTGCACGGTGTGTGAACACTTCAGGGATGAGGACTCCACCACCCCTGTGGGCTCTGCTCTGCCCTTCAAAGTCCTCTGTGGGAGGTGAAACCTCAACCTATTTATACCTGAGGGCTTGTAAATAACACACCAACTGGTCCCAGTCGCAATGGGGATGGTCATTCCGGCTGCCTCATCCCTGTTGCACTCCACCTTTGGGTTTTGGTCCCTACTCAACCCCTTTAGGAGCAGGAGGAAGCGGAAGCGTGTTCTAGCACGATCCACCACCGCTGTGTGGCTCTGCTGTGGTTCCTCCCCGTCACAGTGACACTGATCCCAGCACAAAGCCCGCTGCTACTCACTGGTTTCTTCAACTTCTTCCGGAAATAGTCATACTTCTGTTTGAACTCCCTGGAGTAGGGAACTGCCTGTCAGAGAGAACCACAACCAGCCATCACTCCAGCTACCCAGCACCTGGGTACTCCGTGTTTAACACACCAGAGTCAAAGAGGTGCTATCTACACGTGTGTTCATCCAAACCCCACCAGGCCGGGAGGACAGCAGCCAAAAGGTGCCCATTGCTCATAGGTATGAAAGCCTTCAACCCCCATCTTCTGTTCATCACCTCCTTACCCTCTTCTTTCTTCTTTTAGGAACAGAGAAGAGCAAAGCCAACCTTCAACATAGTAAGTACTTGGTGTGTATTGCTGCTCTCCATGTGTCTCATTAGGAGAGGAACGTGTGTGAGATAGTGGATCTGAATATAACATCCCATGGAATATGGATCTGCACAGCAGGAAGTGGCTGCTACTCGAAAGATACAAAGTCCAAAGCAGTTTGAGCTTAAGAACAAGATACAAGCTCATGAGGACCTTAAAAGGAGGTTCAGGCCCTTGTATTCCTACAAGTTACAAGGCTCCAGTAAAGCCACAACATCATCAAACACGGTTTGGCCTCCAAGTAGGGTAGGACACAACGTGCAGCCCCACAGCTACTCACTGAGGAATGGCCATGGGTAGAAGTCACCTTTTCAGCCCGGTGTGAGTGAATCTAATAATTACCAGTTATCAAACTATATCAAAACTCTGTTTCAACTGACTTACAATGAAAATCCACCTTTTTCTGTCTTTAATCCAGAACTAAAGCCCTTCCTTCACAGACACCATCAATGGAAACAAGGTTTGGAGAGAGCCTTGAAAAGCAGAACTAAAAAGAACAGGTTTCCTGGCCTTGATCCTATTTCCAACTGCACCCCCAGTTCAAGAGGAGGAGTAGACTTAGGAAACAACTCACTCATCAAGTCAAATGGGATTTTGGGCAGGAAAAGACTGATTTTGGGTTGCAAACAGCAGTTCCATTCTCTGTCCCCTGAAGCTGCAAGCTGCAGGTGCAGTTTCTACAGGAGTTTTGTGGATGCTGAGCCATGAGTAATAAAATATAAATCACCCTCAATCATCTCACTCTGATGATAATACAACTTTACAACAGCCATTAAATAACCTTTCAGCATGTTTGCACTGTTTAAATGCAATGTGAAATGCAATTCAAGTATTGTCCCCGCACCAAAAGCACTATTAAAAGCATTAAGATGAGTCCTTAATGTTTAAATGGCTGCAAAATGGCTTTGGATCTTGTTTTGGCTTTAAAACCCCCCAAACCACACACAGGTAAGTGTTATTTATCATTTCCCAGATGGACTTACTCATTTCAGCTTTAACATTTCTGGGAATCCAAAGGATTTGTACTAGTGTCGAGCAGCACCTCAAGCATTAAGTGCGTGGGACATGACTCCAAAGCAGTTCTGTTCCAGCAAGTCACTGTTATTCATCCCAGAGCAGCTGGAATTACACCCTTGTCCTTAAAATTCCTGAGCATTTATCCCAAATAGAAAGGTAACAGCAGAAAATGGCCTAAAGCAGCTTAAAAAGCTCACTCACTCCATGTATTTAATGTCTGAACATTGATACCCAGCAAAAGCAGGTCTGTTTTCCCTAAGGCTGATGTTCTGCAGCCTCATAGTTCACCTGCACTAACTTGTGTGTCTCCTAAACCCGAGAGACCCCTTTTTGTCTCTGTTACGCTCTGGGTCCACACTCCCAACTGTCCCATAGTGGAAGGAGCTCTTCATGGAGCAGACATCAAAGGTGAGCTCCATGTCGCAGCCCTGTGGTCAGTCATGACCCAGGGGATGGGTAAATTGGACCATTTCTCCTGTATTCATCCCAAATCCCTGCTTCCTGGCCTGTTCTTGACCTCATTTGGGAAGAGGCACAACCTGCTGCTCCATGAGGCCTCCTGCCTGCACCCAGCACCCAGGAGTCCCAGTGTGTAGTGGACAACCCCCCAGCAGTACTTACTGGACCGGTAATGGCTGGGTTCTGCAGCCTGGGGTCTTCCCACTGCGTGATCTTATTATCTGTAGTAACAAAAGCAATAGTATCATTACTCCTCTGTGGCCACACTGTGAACTGATGCTGTTCTTTCTCCCTACAACTGGTTCCCTGCCGTTCCCACCACTCAGTACTCCAGGGCTGGGGAGGCTGCATTCAGCATCTCCAAAGCCCCTCCACACTCTTTAGTTGGAAACACTCCTTGGAAACCACAGAACTACAACTGGATCCAGTGGCTTTCCACTGCTTTGATCTCAACATCTGGAGAGGAACCACGTTCTACTTGGACATGGTCTTGGATTCAACTCCTGTTAGAGTTACAGGACTCTATATTATTAGGACTTCAGGCCTGCAAGGTGAAGGAACCCAAACACTTGGGCAAATGATGGATTAAGGTTACTCTTTGGAGACTTTGCATGAAGAGAGCCAAATGTCATGCTTGGAGAAGACAATGCGTGTTCCAATTTGGAGGCAATAACAGCTCTTTAGAAACAGAAAGCCCTAGAGCCTGATTTAGACCCCTAAGGGAGGTGAGAGGTTGTGCAGACCCATGGTGGGACGTGGGCCAAGTGCTCCTCACCAGATTCTGAACACCACAGAATCACAACAACACGATGGGGTTGCAACAAGAAGACAATGCTCCAAAAACCAAAGGAGGTGCCACCTGCAATGGCAAGTTTAGCTCATCCATTTCCTGCTCTGAGAGGGGGAACAGGAGGAGTAACACTACACCTACTTGCTGGACACGCTGCGCTGTGAACTGTATAGTGATAATCCAGGGTTTAAGGTCTGTGGTTGCTGGGGTTGGGATTAAACACACTTGTTCTATGTATTTGTGGCTATTGTAGGTACAAGCAAAGAACAAACCCACTTGTGTTTAACCACCATGTTACTACCGTTGGAAAAGACCCCCAAGTTTGGAGCATCCCAAGCTGGTTTTAAAATGGGCTGGGATTTGAGGCGGAATTCCTAAATGTTAACTGAAGGAAATCCATCAAGATCACAAGGAATTGGATCCATCAGTTAAGTTACTGTTAAAATACTACTTTATTTCCCTTTACACATGAAGTCTGGTTAGTGCTGAGGGAAATCCTGGAGGAAGGCCATTGAGTGGCAGCTCCAAACCCCCATGGGATCCTCCAAAGGGTGACTCCTGCTCTGGCCTCTTCTCCTCACTTCATCCTGCTCAAACTTCCTTCTACAGAGTGCACTGGGTTTATACAACTCATTTCTTACACCTAGTTGAATCTGAGAGGTGGTTTTTATGCAGTTTGGAAACTGCAAGTTCTTTCTTGCCTTGGGGTCCTCAGTGTGTATGATGCTATGGACAGATCTTTGTCCAAGTTCCTTCTCCTCTAGTCCCTTCCCACTAGTTCTTGCACTCTGGGAGCCTGTGCCAAGGCACTACCAGGGCTGAAGACATTAGGGTTACTACAGGTGTTACTACATCACAGGCTGAGTTAACTCGTGCCCAGCTGGTATTTTCCATGCCCTTTTCAATCAGGACTCTGCTTATTATTCCCATTCTGAGCACCACTTTACAAGTCTTATTGACCAGCCTCTTGCTTCCCACTCCAGCAGGCTCATTCTGCTTCCTCACCCTGTCCCAGTGAGCACCTCACCCCTCCTGCACTAATGAGTAAATCCCCCCTAAAACACTGCTCAAATGACTAGTGTATATGCTGAAGCATGGTGGAGCCAAGAGGGGTGTTGAGGGGATCGCATGTAACACATCCATCCCTCTGTCAGCCACTGGAAACTGTTCTGGATCTGCTTGGAAAACCTTGTTTTCCTTCATGACACCTTCCAACAGGTAGGTTACATTTTCCTCTAAGGCTCCTGGGAAATGCAGGAGTACATGCATCCTGCAAGGAATAGGGAACAGTGTTCTATTCAGGGATGGTGAATGCTGCTGCCTACAGGCTGAGCATGAAGTAGGGACTATGGGTCCTGCAGAAGTTAGACCTGCTTCTGGTTCAAACCTAAAGACACTGTCTTTGCTGTGAAGATGAGGCCATCAGCAGAGTTGCCTTGCTACCAAATCCAGCTGAAGTCTGGATCAAAGCTGAGTGAAGCAATAGCAACAAGCCAGCCTCTCTGGGCTGCCCTGGTTCCAAACACCAACGAAAACTCACACAGTAGTTGTGAGATGCTGTAGTAAGACAGGGCTACAATGAAACATCACTTACACTAGAACTTCACTAACAGAACTGAAGAATATTAATGGGCTGGGTGCAGTTTGACATGCTATAAATAGGAAATAAGATCAGAATCAGCACTGCCACAAGACCTTCTTCAAGGAGAGGTCCAAGTACTCAGGAGTGCTCATTTCTCCACTGCCTGGATGTGGAGATGTGGCTCCATGAGCTCTTCTCATCTTATTTTCTATTCCTAGTGTAGAGTATCATTTATTAAGTGCAAAATAAGCCATGGGATCATCAACAACACCAACAACGAATCCAAAATATCAACGAGAACAAAAGAAACCACAGAGAAGGGATGTTAATGCTTCACAAGTCAGAGAGGGACAAAGCTTGATGAGCCGATTAAAAGCAAGCTTCCAGGTAGGATACAGTACCGTACGAGGGCACTAAGTCTCTGGTATCAATGTCTCCACAAATCAACACCTGGCTTCCTAAATGAAGAGTAAAATTACAAAGCTTTCACTTCAATCTTTAGTAGCTCCCTTTGTCTATTTGCTGTAGGACCCGAGGGCTTACTTACTATGGTCTATGTAGAACGTTCGTCCGTCCAGGTGTATTCTTTCCTCCCAACCAGGCTGGAAGGGGGCAACAAAGAGAGAAAACAAGTGAAACACTACTACAGCTTGAAGCAATACATCATCCACACTGACACAAATCAGCTCATAGGTGCTTGTGAGGTAGAAAACACGAATGATCACAGAGGCTTTATGTTGAGGCCAAACATCTTGGAAGAGTCAAATCCAATACAGTAGTTTTTAAAGCTGGGAAACTTCTTGCATCAGGGTTTATACTCATTGCCTGCTAGAGGGAAATGATGACAAATGTTGTCCATCACTGCTTAGGATTGAGACTTTCTGCTTCCACTTCTGAATCATATGTGTATATAATAAGTATGGACACCAGGACCCCATTAGAGTGGGACAACAGTCCTAGTCCTCCATTCCTCCCTTTTATCCATTCCCTTTCCCAATGACTGTAGTAGAGAAAGGAGACTAAATGGCACACTCTTAGGATATGCAGTGCTCTCCAGCCTCATGAGTCTGGACTCATTCCACCTCTATGGTGTCCAAGAGCTTCAGAGCTCTATAAAATATAGATGAGGCATGATTTCATTTCAATCTGGTGCGAGAAACTCTTGTTCTATTATGTAGTCACTCTTCCCCCACTCATAAATGGAGTGTGTAACTGAGTTTAGACCTGCTACAGGTTCTGCATTTCCAGTGATGCGTGTCAGGCTCTCCTGATTTCACTGGTGAGGCTTAAGGATGCTTTGGAGGTGATCATCCCATTCCAAAGGCTTTGTTTTGTCCTAAAGCAGCAGCACATAGAAATAAACCCAAGGGGAGATTCTCCCAAGCTCAAAGCCTCAGATAAGCACAGAAACATGCAGTCACTTCCGAAATACCACAACCTCATTCCTGCATCACCCTAAAGCCTTCTGGTGCTGTATCTAAACACAGCTTTAGTGTTGTCAGACAAGGGATGACAGCAACGTGCGTGCCCACATACAGCACGTGACTGCAGTGAGGGATCAGAGGATGTATAGCACATCTATAAAACACATACACATCAGCACTTACAGGAAGAGGGCCCAAATCATTTGGGTTCAAAGATGCTTTTGATCTCAAATGCACTGGGAATTTCAGCCTTGGGTCCTCCTGGAACAGAAACATGGAACTGTAAATCCAACGGCTCGACTTGGATCTACACACAGAGGGTGGAGTAAAGCAAAACATACACAGTTGATAGAACGTTTGGTCTCTGGATCTTAGGCAGAAGTTCTTCCCTGGGGGGGTGGTGGGACATTGGAATGGGCTGAAGGGAGAAGCTGTGGCTGCCCCATCCCTGGCAGTTTTCAAGGCCAGGTTGGACACAGGGGCTTGGAGCAACCTGCTCTAGTGGAAGGTGTCCCTATGGGAACAGGATGAGCTTTAAGGTCCCTTCCCACACAAACCAGTCTGTGACTGTATGAAGTAAGTCTCCCTTCTCCGAGAGCAGCAATGGCAGCACTACAGGGAGGAAAGGAGCTGCTCCAGCCTGTTGCTACTGCACAGAACCATGGAGGAGACTGACTGAGATTCAGGACAAGTTGGGCTGCTTTTAAAGACAAACAGCCCAGTAAAATGGGGGCACAGAGACACACTGAAGAGATGCCAAGTGGGTGGCAGGTGATGGTGCAGTTTCTCTTACCCACGTAGTGGTTTTGGTGTTGTGGTCGATGAAGAAGGGCCGGCCGTTGGGCGCTATCCGCATCTCCCAGCCAGGAGGGAGGAAGCTTTGAGCAACTTTATGTTGTGGCTTAGGGGAGTTGTAAGGGGAGGGCTGTGGAGACTGGGGGTTGGAGAGGGTGTCCTTCACCGCCCTGCGCACCGGGGAGTCCTTCATACCCTGCATGGAGAGAGGGATTCACGTCCATCACACGGTGTCCAGCACTGCCCAACGAATTGAACCTGGGTTCACAGCATCCCACATGGAATGAATACCAGAACCAAGGAATGAATACCAGGATTAAGTGCTGGGCCTGGTTTCTAGGACTTCCTTAGCTCAATTCTGCTCCTATTCAGGCAATTCTCTAACTTAGCCTACATTTAGTTACCAGGTTTTGAGTATTCTATTAGAGAACAGGTAGTAGTATCTAACTATCTAGATACTTAGAAGTTAATTCAAGCTTTATCTGCAGCTTGGTTTGAGCCTCATTTGGACGTGCCACCCCTGGAGACATGGTAGCTGAGCAAACCAAACCATCACATGGATGCAGCATTCCATGACATAAAAGTGAACACCATGCTCCAGTAGTTAAAGGGTGGCTCCAAAGAAGATGGACACTCCCTTTGTAACAGGGAATCCCATGGGAAAGACACGGGGTGATGGGCAAAAGTTACTCCTGGGAAGATTCCAATTGGACACAAGGGGAACATGTTTCACTCTGAGAGCAAACAGCCACTGGAATCATCTCCCAGGGAAAAGTGTCCCCAGTGTTGGACACTTTTAGGATGGGGCTGGACAGGGTGCTGGGAACTAGATGATCTTAATGTGTTTCCCAACCCAACCCATCCCATTCCATGATTCTAAGTTGCAAGGACAAAGAAGGAGAAGCCTGACAGGGGTGGATACTGCTTGGTCTGGGTGTTTCTCACCTCCAGTGGAGCAGAGAGGGTCACGGTGGGTGAGCTGAGGCTGCGAGGCCGCCTGATCTGGGGCTCACTGAGGTGGTTGCTGCTGTTGGCTCCTGATCCCACCATCCCATCTTCCGCCAGCTGCACCGGGAGCGAAACCCATTAGCAAAGTGTGAGGAACACAGTTGGAACACTTCCAAACCATGTGAGGATTCACGATTACACACAGGAGCTTCAAGGTGCCTTCAAGCCAACCCATTCCACGGTTCATACCTGCATGATGGGCCGCGTCCACGTGGTGGTTCGGTTGTTGTGGTTCACGTAGTAGGTCCTGCCCTTGGCATCCTTCCGCTCCTCCCAGCCCGAGGGGAGGCCTGGGGTGGTGTGGACATAGGCCACGGAGGGCTGTGCAAGCAAGAAGGGACTGCATTGGTACCTTGCACCAGCTAAACCCATCTTTCATACACCTACGTTTAATAACAAGGAACTTACAACCTTCTTAAACGTGGTTTCTGATTTCATTCAGTATCAGCTCTTTCATGTGTCTTTTCTGACCACAGAGCTTGTGGTTCAGGTTTCCTCCTCCTCAAACAGCTACACTGACATCCCTCAAACCCTTCAACTTGTAGATGAAACATCAAACTCTGGGTTTTCATGCTTCTTCCCTAAAAAGGTGGATGCTTTTTCCTGTCATTAGTGTGGATAACTCGGTATGAAGTCAAGAGCGCCCAAGTTCTCTTTACTTTACCCCAGGGTGCCTTGAAGCAGTTGCAAGTGGGTGTAAAACCTGGAGTTAAGCCATTCTGTCAGTCACAGGTGCTGCATTCAGGGTTAGGTGTCCTGAAGACACAAACTGGAGCCTCAGCTCCAGCATGGAAAGATTCTCTTCCTCCTGTTTTAGAGGGGAGGATGCTCAGGGAGCTACACTCCACATAAATCTACACGTTGGTGAAGTTTAGTCCCTTTCTAGTTTGGGACTCCTCTTAAGACACCACTTGCTTTGCTAAGGGATGAAGAAGAAGTGTCCTGGCTGCCAGGGAAGCAACCAGAGTGCTCAGGATAAGGTGTTCTGCTCAAGGAAGTGATGGAAGCACTAACACTCCAGGAATTTCTCCTTCCCAGCAGTTGGAAGCAAAGGGCTAAACTCTGCCCATGTATTACTAATGGCACCAAAGACTTGGAATGTGGTGACTTAAAGCAGTGCACAAGAACATGAATCCCTTTAGGAACAGGAGAAGGAAACTGTAGTGCTCAGAACATGAACCAAACCACCTCCATCTGTCTGTCTGCTTTTACCATGGCTGCCCTGAAGAGGCTGTAGTGATGCAAAGGGCCTTTTCCTTACGGATGTAACATGGGAATCTACTGGTCCTTGGAGAATTCCAGGCTTAAATGCTGACATGTGGAACTGAGCTACTCCTTCTATCCCAACTACCTGCTGCTTCCAAGAAGATCCCTCGACTCTTTGCAGCCTGCTTGGAAGAGAGGAGAGGTTTGTAACCTGAAAGGAGCAGGATGCTGCACTTAAACGGGATGCTTTTGATGAAGCCCAACCTGACTTAACCCCCTTCTCCTCGCATCGCACGTTCAGAAAAGCACTCCCACATCCTTCAAACATGCCAGGATTTGAGTGAATCCCAGTCCCCCCCATGTGATTCCAAGAGAGCGCTTGATAAAGAGGCTGGTTACCGTTGGCTCCTCACCCCCTGTGACAGTGGAAGAACGAGCTCTCCTGGCTGGACCGCTCTGCTGGTAAATGACAAGGCAGGACACAGTAAGTACACTTAGTGATGGACAGGGCTGTGCTGGCAGTAAGGAAGCAGACACTCACATGAGGATCATGCTTAAGATCATAGCAAAGCCTCTGGAGTCATCAATCACTGATAAGCAAGCCAGGATCTCTTACAAAACCCACCCAAAGATCTGATTTCAAGGGTGCTTGCACCCAGTTCATTATCCTGATGATGCTAATGAAAGACTTTACTCAAAATGGAACACGATTCCCCCCCCAAAATAATCAATATTTGCATGTTCTGCCCAGAATGATGGTCTCTGGAACCAAAATGGTACATTCTGGTCATCAAGGAGTGCACAGGAATCAGATGGAAAAGGCTGAATGGACAGAGTGTGTTTTCAGGAAGGATTGAGTCAAGAGCAGCACTGCATTCAGAATAAAAGTATGTACTGAGGTGCTGGAAGATAACTTAGCATTAGCTTAGTAAGGATCAGATGTGGTGAAGATCTGGGAACATCCTTGTTTTAGAGCAATTCTGCCAGGGAAAGCAGTGTTCTCTAAGAATGAGCTGAAAGATACATCACCAAACCCAGCCTGACCCCAGCTATGGAATCCCAGACTCCATATGAAGTGAGAAGGAGCCCATAAAGTGATAGTAAGTAATGGAGAACACCTCCAGAACAGGCTGCATTGGGACTAGGAGAGCAAGAAGACACAGTAAAGGTGTAATTGTGCTGGAAACCACAGCAGGAGAGCAAGCAGAGACAGACACCACCACTTCAGGGCACTTCTTGGAGCACCAGCTATTAAACTAAAGCAAGAACAACCACTGTGGTTGCTGTAACACCCACTGTTGGGCTGTAGGCCAAAACATGTAGAACCTTCCATTGTTTACACCAGAGATGTGCGTGGTTATGATGTGAGAGGGAGTCTTTCTTTAAGAGGTACCTATAGATCTTTGCTGGATCTATAGATCTTTCCTAGGTAGAACTGGCCTAGGAAAAGGTGTAACTCAGCAGCAGAGATCACCCAACCATAAAGAAGGAAGAAGTTAACTTTGCTTTACCAAGGAGAGCTGAGACTGTTCAGCAACTGCATCCGTTACGCTGCAGGATCTTAATCTTGAAGTAGGATCCCTTTGCTGGAAGGAAAGGAAAGGAAAAGATGGTTTTAAGTTAAGGTGCCTTAAACCACGGGGGTTACTCCCTAATTTCACTGCCATTTAAGCCAACCCCCTTACAGCTCATATGGATGTTGCAGTGTCTTTAGCTTGAATCCTTCTACAGCAATGAAAACACAGCATTCCCTCCTGGAGCGGTTCCGGTTAAAA